CTTGTGATGGTCTATGTTTGGCTCACATTATACTTGAAACTATAAGGTATGCGCATGCACCACATCCTACGAGTAACTTGATTACTCACCCTAGTTGTTTGGGTTATTTTGCAGGTAAAGAAACCTTATTTTGGGATGCATCACATCCTTAAGTTACTTTGAAGTCTTGATGTATTTTGTTGTATTTTTGAAAACATGCAAGTGTTAGAATGTAGTATCATTTTGGTGTAAAATGCTATTTTCGTCTTGAAATATGTAATGTGTACCTAAGTACACTTTTTAATGCTTAAATAACATATTTGTATTGAGGGCAAGGGCCAAGCATGTTTAATTTAGCACTTGTAGTCATTTGGTAGCATTTTTTGCTTTAAGAATGTATTTAAACAAACTTTAGAGGTTTAACATGTGAGATTCTTGTAAATGATGTGTATGAGGCCATGAGCCGTTGTTCTGTATATAAATAATTCATATTAAGGTTGTTGGCATGTCCACACATCCATATCTCATTGAAAATCAGTTTAAAAATATTCAATTTTGAACCAAATTATCATGGGATTCAAAGCATAGGTTGAACCTTAACACCTTAGGCTTATAACAGGCTTTACAGAAGCTTTTGAGGTGTTTCAGTCGACTGATGGCCTATTTCGGTAGACCGATGCCTCAATTCAGTCTACCGAACCAACCAACCAACCCTCAAAAACATGATTTTAGAAAAGTTTCTGTGAGTTTCGGTCGACTAAAACTCTATTTTGGTCGACTGAAACAGCCCTTACATGCCAACCTTCCAGGTTAGGTTTCAGCACTGAAGTTCCAACTTCAAATGATCATAACTTCTTCATTTCTAATCCAAATGGGGTGATTCTTGAGCCTAAATTCAAGGATTTTGAGTCAGTTTTTCAATGGTACCTATGCCATTCTCAAATTCAAATCACAGTATTCTTGGCCAATGTTCTTGGAACCTCTTGGAATGTTGTGAAATGATTAGATTAGGTTGTATTAACCTTATTTGACTTGTTTAGAGTCAAATTTTCCTCCTCAATTGTAAATTAACCATTTTGCCCTTGATTGATGAATTTTGCTCGTTTTGACTCCTAATTCTTTTTTTTGCTCTCTTTGACTTCCGTGGCTTCATGGAATGTCACGTTGGTGTCTTAGAGATAATTTATGTCTCAAAGGACTTTAGTTTCATCTTTTGTTTCCGTATTTTGAATCCGTTATCGGGTTAACTTTCAGGTCATCACTGACGCACCGGATTGAAAATTTTGGGTCACGACAAGTATCATAGAAGTCTAAAAAGTAACATCATCATTTGTAAAAGGGTAACATCACTACTTAGGTAATATATAAGTGTGTGTATATATATATATGTATATGTATATATAAGAACGCTTTGAGACCAAGGCACTAAATATATATAAGTATATATATAACATCGCCATGTTGAATTGAGTTAGTTTTATGTGTGACTATTAGTTTTTCAGCACTATGTGAACCATAAGAGTATTCAATTAAGCACCATGCCTTGACCATCACTAGATTAACAACATTAACACACATAAACATACATCAATTTCATTAAATCTAGAGCAAAGCATATGAACATTCATTCTAGCATACATAGACATATGGATAGAACTAAATGATCAATTGAAAGCATTAGTTCATATAAATCATGTAAAAATCACAAGATCTATATTTATTTATAGTCAAAACATCAATTACAACTAAAATCCCCAAAAATACACAAAAGCTAGGTTTAGGAAACAAGCTTATGGGCTATCTCTAGCTCTAAGAGAAGGATTTAGCCACTCATTGTAGTGGTCATGGAACCCTCAAGGGCTAGCTTAGAGGTTGGCATCTTCATCTTCATCCTTGCTTTCTTCCTAAAATCCTAGTTCTAGAGAGAGAAACTATTTCTATAATTAGTAAAATATCTATTCTATCAATGATACATTTTTTTTATGGAGGTGGTGAGTGTGACAATTAATATTAAATTTTATCAAATTTTTTCTTTTAATGGTGAAGGTGGTGAGTGTGGCAATTAATATTAAACTTTGCCAATTTTTTTCAAAGATATGTTAAATAATTTATATCTAAGTATATGTTTTTTTTAATATTTGGAAGAAAAAAAAAAAAAAAAAAAAAAAGACGTGGCTCTATTCTTTATTTTTGAAAATATCAAGCGTTTTGTTTGTTATCTAAAATTAATCCAAGTGACTTTAATTTTAGTTTAAATTCTTTAAATTAACATGTTGAAGTGTTTTTAAAATACTTTAATTTCAAAAAATAACATAAATGATATGTTCAATTGAGTTACGTTTATATGTTACATTACTTAGTGTGCATTATGTGCATACCTTATTTTAAGGGTAAAGATTGTTTTCACTTTATGAGGTATTTGATTGTCAACAACTTTTATTTTAAGTGGTGATGTTATTCTATTATAAATAATGGTATTACTTTTTAGACTTTTATGATGTTACTTATAAATGGTGATGAAATGTTACTCATAAATGATAATATAATTGCCAAACACAATCTTAGAAACTATTAAATGAAGAAACGCATGGTGAAATATCGACCACTTACAAGACACTGTAGGGGACCGTATACAAATTGCACTTTAGAGGTTTTGGGCCCATGGGCGTAAATCCTCTGCAGTCTGTTTTTCCTGCAGTCCCCTGCAGTTTACATTGTTAAGGCCTTGCTTTGGCCACGTATTTCATTTTAACAATTAAAATCACTTCCTCCAGGTTTACATTGTTGAGGCCTTGCTTTGGCCACATATTCCATTTTAACAATTAAAATCACTTTCTCCGTTAAGGGAACTTTATATTAAAAAAAAGAAAAAAAAGAAAAAAGGAAAAAGAAATAACAAGAGTCAATACATTAGTGACATTAGTTAATGAGCACTATGTCAATACTTAGTTTTAATAGTGAAGGTGATCAGTGTGCCTATTTATTAAACTTCACAATGTTTTTTCTCTCATAAATATCAAATAATAACCTCTGGAATGTATAATTGCCGCATACATTTAATACAAAATTTTTTGGGTAAGACATTGGTTCCTAATGAGGCCTACTCAATTCAAACAATCAATTATGCAAGATTTTACATTCACTATAATGCTTATTGAAGATTATAGAAGAAAACTCTACAATTATCCTAGATTTCAAAAACACTAGAATGCCTAACCAATGTCAATTTCAACTAAAAAAAAAATCATAATTTAGACTAACAGATGACAAATGAAAGAATTAAAAATTCTTAAATTTATTTGTGCCATTACTTATTCAGCACTGTGTCAATACTTAATTTTGATGGTGAAGGTAATCAGTGTGCTTATTTATTAAATTTCATAATGTTTTTTCTATCATAAATATCAAATAATAACTTCTGAAATGTGTAATTGCCGCATACATTTAATACCAAAAATTTTGAATAATACATTGGTACCTAATGAAGCCAACTCAGTTAAAAAAAAAAAAAAAAATTATACAAGATTTTACATTCACTACAATGCTTATTGAAGATTATAGAAGAAAACCCTACAATTATCCAAGATTTCAGATAAACTAGAATGCCTAATCAATGTCAATTTCAAATAAAAAATATCATAATTTAGACTAACAGATGGAAAATGAAAGAATTAAAAATTCATAAATTTATGTGTGACATTAGTTAATTAACACTGTGTCAATACTTAATTTAGATGGTGAAGGTGATTAGTGTGCCTATTTATTAAACTTCACAATGTTTTTTCTCTCTCAAATATCAAATAATAACATCTGGAATGTGTAATTGTCGCATACATTAATACCAAATTTTTTGGATAACACATTGGTACCTAATGAAGCCAACTCAATTCAAACAATCAATTATGTAAGATTTTACATTCACTATAATACTTATTGAAGATTATAGAAGAAAACGCTACAATTATCCAAGATTTTAGATACCCTACAATGCATAACCAATGCCAATTTCAACTAAAAAAGATCATAATTTAAACTAACAGATGACAAATGAATGAATTAAAAATTCATAAATTTATGTGTGACATTAGTTAATGAGCACTGTGTCAATACCTAGTTTTGATGGTGAAGTTCACTACAATGCACAATATTAATAACAGGTATTAAGACTTACCAACCATGAAGCATTAATTAGGTCAATTGTAGATACCAGCTTAGGTCAATTTTTAATTCTTTCATTTGTTAGTGTGCCTATTTTGGTATTAAATGTATGCGGCAATTACACATTTTAGAGGTTATTATTTGATATTTAAATAAGAAAAAATATTGTGAAGTTTAATAAATAGGCACACTGATCACCTTCACCATCCAAATTAGGTATTGACACAATGCTGAATAACTAATGTCACACATAAATTTATGAATTTTTAATTCTTTCATTTGTCATCTGTTAGTCTAAATTATGATATTTTTTAGTGGAAATTGACATTGGTTAGGCATTCTAGTGTTTCTAAAATTTTGGATAATTGTAGGGTTTTCTTCTATAATCTTCAATAAGCATTATAGTGAATGTAAAATCTTGCATAATTGATTGTTTGAACTGAGTTGGCCTCATTAGGAACCAATGTCTTACCCAAAAATTTTTGTATTAAATGTATGTGGTAATTACACATTCTAGAGGTTATTATTTGATATTTATGAGAGAAAAAACATTATGAAGTTTAATAAATAGGCACACTGATCACTTTCACCATTAAAACTAAGTATGACACAGTGCTTGTTAACTAATGTCACTAATATGTTGACTCTTGTTATTTCTTTTTTTTTTTAATATAAAGTTTCCTTAACGGAGAAAGCGATTTTAATTGCTAAAATGGAATACCTGGCCATTGTAAGGCCTCAACAATGTAAGTCCGGATAAAGTGATTTTAATTGTTAAAATGGAATACGTGGCCAAAGTACGTCCTCGACAATGTAAACTGAGGAAAAACAGACTGCAGAGAATTTACGCCCTGGGCCCATACAACTACTTCCATTTCGGCTAAAAACAGAATCGGAAAACTAAAACGGCACCAAAAAGGACCAAATTGATTTTGGTTCCAAAGAAGTGCTAGGCGCGTACGCTTGTACTCGCACAATTTTCCTTTCCTTTCCGGGCAGGTCGATTCAAAACTCGCGCAATTCATTCCAGTAGAGAGGATTGTGTGTGTTTTTCTTCTACTAGAGGGCGTCAAATTTTAAGGCCCATAGGGGATGGAGACCAAAAATATAATAATAATAAATAAATAAGTTAGGGTAAGTTTTTCAGACGACACAATCTGCTTCGACACTCCGCCGGACGCAGCCTCCGCTATCGCCTCAGGCTCAGGTGACAGCGTGACAAGGTATGTTCATCCTCTCTCCCTCTTCTCTCTCCTTTTGCATGAATCGATCCTTTTTTTTTTTTTTTTTTCCCCCTCCCTAAGTCCACTCCAGTCTCACAACAGCAGCAACCATACCCCTTTTCCTCATAATTTTTTGCATTTTCACATTCAATCCTACGAAAATAAAGGATCCCTTCTAGTGGGTTGAGGACGTGAGGTAATAATTAACTTTTTCGATCTCTAAATTATGCTCATACTTAAAAGTGCCAAATTAAGGGGTTTTTTTTTTTACTTTTATTTTATTTTTATATGAAGAAGATACATACCACCATTATTGATGTTATTTGAAGTTGGCTCAGCTAGAATTTCAGTTAATAATACTGTCAAAGGCTCAAAGCACTTGCCATCAGAATGTACAGACACAGGGAAATCAAGAGCAGGCTTTAACAAAACAAAAGTTAGTGGTTTTTTCTATTAATTTGCACAGGTTTTCTGTAGCAATGATCAATCAATCACTGCTACTAAATTTGATTCCTCATCCTGAAATCAAGAAAGGGGTAATTGGGTCCCAAAAAAAACACACAAAAAGCTCCAGTGGAAACTCCTGCCAGGAGATCATTCGACCAAACTGCTTGATTTTAGATTTTTTTTATTATATTATATTTATCGTATGATCGGCAATGCTTAGTTATTATTGTTTCCGTTTGATTCTCCATCCGTTTTATGTTAATTGTGATCTATTTCACATGCTAGCAGGACACTCTTCTTAGGGTCTCGTGAGGTTATTTGCCTTGAACTTGAATCAAATCATTGCATATTGAGGACACTCTTCTTAGGATCTCATGAGGTTATCTGCCTTGAACATTTACTTTGATATTAAGTTTAATTTTGATTTTTGTGACTAAGTTATGTTGAATATTCATTTTAATTTTTTTATGTAAACTGGATCATGCCCTTTTTAAAGCACCAAGACCGGGTTTCTTTTTAAAGCACCAAGACTGGGTTTTCTTCTGTGTGTTTTCAACATTAATATATTTTATGTACTTATCATCCCATATTAATGAAAATTCCGCATTCTTATAAACTTTTTTTGCCTATGAAAATTTCGTACTCTTTAATTGATGGATTTATTGTTATTAGTTACTTATCTTATGCACACTGTATAGGCGCACAATTATTTATTGGTGGTGATAGATTTGTAGTTATTAGTTAGTTGTCTTATGCAAACTGAACATGTGCACAATTATTTATTGGTGCTGATAAAAATTTAATGTTCTTAGTTAGTTGTCTTAAGCACACTGCACAGGCGCACAATTATTTATTGGTGGTGATAGATTTATAGTTATTAGTTAATTGTCTTATGCACAATGCACATGCACACAATTATTTGTTGGTGGTGATAAATTTATAGTTATTAGTTAGTTGTCTTATGCACAATGCACACACGCACAATTATATTAGCTATAGAATTTGAAAACATCGTGTTAAAATTCCGCACTCTTATAATTTTTTTTGCGCATGTGAAACTTAAGGGCCTCACATTTGAAAGTTCGCCTAGGGCCTCTCAAAATATTTGAAATCTTAGGGCTGGCCCTGTACTAGAGCTGTCTTCAATTTACAGTTCCGATGGATTCATTATCATGTGTAAAGGGGGATGAGAAGTTGGGGCCAGAATACAACAGCAACAACGTGAAGAAGGCCAAGTTGCATTCGACTCTCGCCGCTCTCCTCGACGATCCTTTGCTCGCTGATGTGCCAACGAAACCCACCTTGTCTGATGTCGAAATCCTCATCAGCTTGGAACTCGGCAGCGCAATGCGCATCTCTGTCCTCAAATTGGATCGCACTTCCTTCGGTACGTTCTAAATCATTATTATACTCTCATCTAGTCATTTTCACAAACATTTACCCTACATATATTAACAATCTTTTGGGTTTTCAATGGTAAAGATGTGGTCGTGATGAATTCTGCCACTTTAAAGGATTTGAAATTGGCCATCAGGAAAAAGGTTAACGATATGGAGCAGTCCAAGATGGGTCATCGTCAAATTTCTTGGTATAACTCCCCCTTCTTTTTAATCATGAACATATGGAGTCACTTTGCAATCTTTTTGAATTGATTTTGATAACTCTCTCTGGATAATGTTTTACTGCAATTTGGTTGACTGGGCCCTCACTTTCTCATTAAAAGGTAGATTGTGCTTTAAATGACCATGGTAAAGAATGAGTTCTAAAGCTGTATATATGCATATATAAAAATATTGATAGGTAAAGGTGTTTGAACCCTGTCATCTGCTCTTTAGTAGCATCTAAATCAACACCAGGCAAGGCATCATTTCACGGTTTATAGTTTTTTCCTCCCCTTTTAGTTGGAACAATTTAAATTAAACTTATTCCATTCAATTCAATAAGTTGGAGTAACTCTGGAATATTTAATGAAAGATTTCATTCATTCAATGATTTGGTCCTTAGGATTATCAATTTATCAGGTACTTATCAAAAAAAAAAAAATATCAGGTACTGCTTAAAAGTTTAATGACGTCTATACTTTCCCTAATATTAGGTAATCATGATTTTTGATGATTTATTTATTTATTTTTAAATTTTATTGCATTTCTTCACCACAACTATCATTCGAAATTTTATTTTTCTTTCTTTTGTTCTTTCTTTCTTTTTTATTTTATTATTTTATTTTTTTTATGACATTTATCCTCGGTCAAATGATTCCAAATAAAAGTTAGTACTTGGTGTAGTCACATTCCGCAAATTATGTCCAATGTTACATGGAAGTAAGTTATGTTGAGTAGACCGTATGGTTGTGTCTCCAAGAGTCAAATACATCAAATATTCGAATAGATTGATACAAGGACACTGCTAAATGTGTCAGACACATGTTCCATAATCATGCCTGAATGTCATGATTCCTACACGGGTATTTCATGTATTCTTGAAGAGTCCATGTAGCATATTAGACTTGTGTCTGGTCTATCACTTCTAACACACTCAAGTAATAGGGACCTCTCGCAACATCCTGAATTAATGAGGAACAAAAATGGATAGTGGCTTTTGCTAAATGATTTAAAATATTGAATTCATTAATATGGTTTATGTATATCTCTATATATTTTCCCCTAAACACATATATCTCTATCTTTTACCTATGATGTGAAACTAAAGTATTTAGGCATGTAACTCTTGAAATATGTGCATCTTTTACACTCAAATATTGCTTCAGTGTAATCAAAGCCAACTTAATGACCAATTAAATTTAACAAACTCTTATCTCAACTATGTTGTGTGGAAATCTAAGACAGATTGAATGTATTTTGTTTTATATTCTGCTTTGTATTGTTAGCCAATAACATTTTCACCTTCTTTTTTATTTTAAACTATTGTTTGCAGGAAGCATGTTTGGGCGAATTTTTGCCTTTCATACCATAATGAGAAGTTACTTGATGACAACTCTTCGCTTCAGGATCATGGCATACGTAATAATTCTCAGGTATGATTTCCTGCCATTACATATCATTTGATTAGAGTAAGGAAAGAGTAAAGAGAAATCGTGAAATTCTCCTTCATAACTAGGAGAGAAAAGATTGGAGGGACTAGGATGGAAAATATTTACTTTTTGGTCCAAAAAAATTAACACCTCAAAAATGTTTTGATTTGATTGATTTGAAGAGAAGTACAATATTCAGTACAAATTGCTAGTAGATGAAAAAAATCGTATGTAAGTGCCATTATTTCTCTTCCCATCCTCTCTACACTCGTTGTCTCTAACCAAAAAAGTGGAAAATGTTTAACTTTTTCTTCTATTCTTCTATATATATATATATATTCGTAAGCAGGTATTGTATTGACGTCAAAAAATATGGCAATCAGTACAGAGAAGATCAGAGGGGGCATACCCCCATACTACAGACTCCAAGAGATCAGACAAGTACCACTTCCAGTACATAACAAAAGTAAGAACAACATTTATGAAATTACAGCAAATAATAAAGTATCTAGTAACCTAAGGCCAGCAGCATCCAAACATTGGAACCGTGTTTTCCTTTCTCTTCTTCGATCTTCCTTACTCCTTGTTTTCCTTTCTCTTCTTCTCTTAATTATCAAACAAAAGGTGCTTTAATATTCTAACTATAAGTTATCTCTATTTGCTAAAAAAGCTGTTACTGATGTTGCTTCCCGTTAATCAGTGGTGATAGGAGGGATATATTGGGTATTGAGGGTTGTAGGACCAAAACACAAGGCCGTGATATAGACCTAGAGGGGCTGTGAATAGGTCTTTGATGAGCTAGTTCATGGATTTTAACTAATTTTTGAATCTTAACTAAATGAACAACTTTTCAAAAACTAAACTAACTTTCTACTAAGAAATCCAATCAATCTATCATGCAATCAAGTAGATAGAGCACAATCAGTTAATAGGCACAGAGATTCTTACATGGAAACCCTTGAAAGACCACGGGACCTAGTCCAGATAGATCAAATCCACCATACGAGAAACAAATATTAAAATTAGGTTAACAATTTTTCAAACTTTGGCAACCTCTAGTTACCTCTTGACTATAAACCAATCACCAATTCTTCACTCGAGTTCAGAGCCTTCAGTCCACTCCATCAATAGATATGATACTCGCAAGATGTGCTTCTTCACTACTTTGATCTCCAAGATAGTTGTATAATCTGAGTGATCTGTATGACTATTGCTTGCTTGGTGTTGAATTGGTTGTAGTCTTAGAAACAACAGATGATCAACACCCTATATGCATGCCCATCGGTCTATGTGGGACGCGTTCCCCAGTTGAACGCTTTTCTTTCTTAATTGAATTTGCTTATAAAAAAAAATCCCTCTATTTGCCCTAGTGTGCTCTAAGAGATCAATCTGTAGCATGCATGCATAGGCTTTCTGAACGTTTTGGGGCTTTATATAGAGTTTAGAGTAATGAGAATCTCAAGACATATAGAAAAAAATAATAATAAAACAAAAACAAAAACAAAGAGTAATGAAAATCTTAGGGTTTTAAGAAATTCAATTCAAAAAGGAAATTGCAATCTGCATAGCTTAATGTCGATCGATCGACACCAGTTCAGTTCTACCCTCAATTGATCCTACCATTGAATGGAGTGCCCTGTCCTATATTTAAAGAAGTTTCCAAGAACATTTATATGTGTTGAAATATATATATATATAGTTCAACAATGCATCATCAAAAAGGTTTTTAATGCTCCAGCTGATTCTAACAAACGCTAAAATTTTTATCTAAACATAAAAATAAAGTTACAGACTCTAGTTGTTGACACAAAATTTGCCAACCCAATTCGTATCTTGTAATAAAACTTTAGAAACTGAACATAACATTTTTTTTTTTGATAAGTAATAATAAATTAAAAAAGGCGTTCAACAGGGGAACGCGTCCCAAAGACGTAAAAGAAACCGGGATCTAAGGCCCCAAGGAATCGAAAAAAGAAATTAAATCAACAGAAGAGGAACAATAACTTCTGTTCACATAACTGTAGAGAGAACGAATAATAAAAAGTTTCAGTGTCGCTGTAGACGACTCCTTTCCTTCAAACATTCTACTATTTCTTTCCCTCCAAATGCACCACCAAATACAATGTGGTACAGATCTCCAATAGTCACGAACACTCCTACTCACATGACAACCTCTCCAAGCATGAATCAGCTCCTTAGTAGAACGTGGCATTACCCAATACATGCCAAATAGCCCAAGAATAAGATTCTAGCAGTCGTGCGCTACAGAGCAATGCATTAGGAGATGATTGACTGACTCCCCATCCTGCTTACATATGCAACACCAATTAACAAAATAATTTCCCCTTTCCTCAAATTATCAATCGTCAGAATCTTACCCCAAATGGCGATCCATACAAAAAAAGCTACCCTAGTAGGAGCCATAGAGCGCCATATAGTCTTCCATGGAAAATCATAGGGTGCAAAATTAGACAAACATAAGAACAAAGACCTTACTTCAAAATGACCGTGAGAAGAGGGAATCCAAATCAAGTTGTCATAACCTCTACCTACTCCTTCCTGCCGATACAAATGATCCAAGAAAATGCTCACATCTTCCAACTCCCAATCCTGAAAAAAACGTCGAAAAAGAACATTCCACGTAATTCCACTATTATCAAGCTGATAACAGTTAGCTACGATGGCATGTTTATCAACTGCAATACAATATAATCTGGGAAAAGTACCAACATAAAGGCTGATTCCCACACCAAAGATCTTCCCAAAAACGAACGCAACTACCATCACGAACTCTGAATCTAACATGAGAAGAAAAGGCATCCCATCCTTTCCGAATGGATTTCCAAGCCCTAACTCCTCCCGCAATAGAAACCGGACGTGTAGTCCATCCGCCAACATCATCCCTATACCTGCAGGAAACTAATCTACGCCAAGGGCGATGTCTTTCCTTCCCATATCTCCACAACCATTTACCCAGAAGAGCTTGATTAAATGGAATCAATCGTCTAATACCGAGACCCTCCAATTTTATAGGCTTGCAAACTTGCTCCCATCTAACAAGGTGATACTTGAACTTTTGTCCTCTTCCTCCCCAAAGGAAATTCCTTTGAATTTGTTCAATTCTATCAGCAACGGAGCTTGGAATTTGGAACATAGAAAGAAAATAAATGGAAAGGCTTGATAAAGTTCTCTTGATAAGAGTAACTTTACCCCCTTTTGACAAATATTGCTTCTTCCAACCTTCCAACCTCTTTGCATACCTATCAATCACAGAATCCTAACTCCCCACTAATCTGGGAGAAACCCCTAGGGGCAATCCCAAATAAGGGATAGGAAAGGAACTCACCCTACACCCAAGAATTGTAGCTAGAGAAGAGATGTCCTGAACATTCCTGATCGGAACAAGCACACTCTTGGGCCACGTTAACCTTTAGCCCGGAAACTGCCTGAAAGCAAGCCAGAATGCATCTCAAATATATAAGTTGAAACACATCTACATCATAAAAAACCAGAGTGTCATCTGCAAATAACAAATGAGAAATCTCCACCTGATTTGCAATATCTCTTCCCACCTGAAATCCCTTGATGAGACCAAGATTCTCTGCTCGATGCATAAGTCTGCTTATGCCCTCCATAACAATAAGAAAAAGAAAAGATGACAATGGATCACCTTGTCTTATGCCCCGAGAGCACCCAAAGAAACCGGATGGAGAACCATTCACAAGAATTGAGAACTTAACAGACGAAAGACATGTCTTAATCCATGTCCTCCATCTACTTCCAAACCCCATTCTTTGAAGCAAATAGAGAAGGAAATTCCAATTTACATGATCATAAGCTTTCTCAATATCAAGTTTACACGGAACTCCAGGAACACCATTACGCAACCTTGAATCCACACATTCACCAGCGATAAGAACTGAATCAAGAATTTGCCTTCCTCCAACAAAGGCATTCTGGGAATCTGAAATAATTCCATCCATAACTTCTCGCATTCTTTGAGCAAACACCTTAGCTATGATTTTGTAAATACAACCCACTAAGCTAATAGGGCGAAAATCCTTAATATCTGAAGCGTTTCCCTTCTTAGGGATGAGGGCAATAAATGATGCATTAAGCGATTTCTCAAAAACACCTATAGAATGAAACTCCTGAAAATTACTCATCACTTCATTTCTCACAACCGCCCAACTTTCCATCAAAAAATGCATAGTAAACCCATCAGGCCCTGGGGCTTTATCCCCATTGCAACTGGATAAGGCCTTTAGAACTTCTTCTTCAGTAAAAGGAAGCTCTAACCCATCTCTCTCCATCTCAGAAATAGCCTCAAAAGGAAGACCATCAAGCTTGGGTCGCCAACCTAAAGGTTCTGTATAAAGTTTCTGATAAAAAGAAACGATCCCACTACGCACCTCTTCCTCCCTCCACAACTCCACGCCTTCTACTCGTATACGTCCTATGTGATTACTCCTTCTATGGGCATTAGCAAGTCTGTGGAAAAATTTTGTATTACGGTCTCCCTCTTTTAGCCAAAGAGCCCGGGATTTTTGTTGCCACCAAATCTTCTCCATACAAGCAATTTCAGTAAGAACTGCCTGACAGGAAGCTCTCCTAGTACAAAGAGACTCCACATTCCCACCCGCCTCTAACCGATCAATCTCAGAAAAATCAGCAAAGACTCTATTCTTCCTCCATTCAAGGTTCCCAAAAACATCCTTATTCTACTGCTTAAGAGCGAGTTTGAGAGCTCTTAATTTCTGTGTTAATATGAAGCTGGGCGTACCTGTAACGATCGCTCCCTCCCACCATGAACGAACTGCCCCTTGGAAGTCCTCCACTCTCAGTCACATATTCTCAAAACGGAATGGGGTTTTCCGACAACACAAACTCCCACAATCCAAAACTAAAGGAACGTGATTAGAGGTAACCCTTTCTAATACCGCCTGAACAACATCTGGGAATTTTTCTTCCCACTCCCCAGAGATCAAAAATCTATCCAATCTTGAGAGAGTAATTGGGTCTTTACCATTAGACCAAGTATAGGTTGCACCTTCCATTGGTAGATCAATGAGAAGGTGCTCATCAATAAAGTCAGAAAACTGATCCATGTCTATGGACCTTCTTCCCCTAGACCTCTCTGACAGGAATCTGACTGAATTGAAATCCCCACCCAAACACCAAGGTAAAGAGCATAGACCTTGAACGTGGCTTAGTTCCTCCCATAAAATAGGTCTCTCATTATCAATGACCGGTCCATAGACCCCAGAACAGACCTATCTGAAATTATCCTTTACCATCTGAAACTCACAGGAAACAGAAAATCTCCCCTTCCACACATTCATTCTGGACGACCACCTACTGTCCCACATAACTAAAATACCACCCGAAGAGCCTATAGCATCCAAAGCCTCCCATTCCACAAACCTTCCTTCTAACAACCCCGTTAGTAATGGATGTCATCTTGGT